AAAGAGGTCTGAGTAGCTCTGCAGAGCAGACTCTTAACGGGTATGTGGTCAACAGGCACAGCCCCCAGATCTCATGTGGTGCAGGGCTGTGCAACTAGCAAGCTGGTTTACTGCACCGAACCAACCTCCTGAACTCTGCATGGGAGGTGGGTTTGAAACTAAATAGAGCCATGATTCATGCTAGGCTATTACTGGTTCCCACAGTGACACTGCAGTCGCACAAATGAGGACAAATTACAGTATAAAGGGGATTCACTAACAGGGGACAGTACTGGACTGCAGATCCTGGTCTGTTACTGGCAGAGTGGGAGAAGCTCAGTCCGTTGCTGTATGTACAGAACAAACATGGAGCCTGTAGCGACTGATTACTAAACACAGCTGGTGTCACATGACGTTCACACACTGCGAAGGAGGAAAGAGATGGAGCAGTGTGTCTGTGTGTTTGTAGTGTAAGAGTTAAAAATCACAGGGGATGCTGGGATACAGGCACCTAGTTCCAATCCAAATGTGCGCTGCTGCTACGTGCATGGTTACCTAGTCGTCCGTTGTCCAGGTAGGGCTGGATCTCTTCTCCCAGACTCGACCCTTCAGCTGCTACAGACCTCAGCAGCTGACCACAACACACTGAGAGACAGACACATGAGACACTGGGCAGAAATATACAGGTGTCCAAAGTATTCAGATACTTTACTGGGTTGTACATTTCATTTTAAATGAATAAAATGTTCTTAACCTCAGCTTATAATTATCAAATCAGACATTCAGTCCATGATTTCTTGCATTGGAATCAGATAGAAAACATTGTTTAGGAAAAGTGTAAATTATTATTAAATCCGTATACCTGGCTCTGCCTCCAGCCACCTCCCCCTACTCAATGCTTAGACTCACACAGGAAGTTTTAAAATTCCACCAATCAAATCCCCCGTCCCCTCAAAACCACTGTGTGCACAAGGAGAACCGTGGTCAGTTAAAGCATGGACTTCCCATGCATATTATTTATTGCATTTGGTTGATATGTGATGGTTCTCGAAACCAGTGGCTGGTCTGACTAATGCCTTTGTTAGATTATATTAGATTCTGATGCATATTCCACCTGCAGTTTACTGAAATGCTTAGGTGCACTGATGATGTAAGTGAAGGTAACCATCAGTTTAGTTCGCTGTTGACATTCTGATTTGTAATAGTTTGATATGTCTCCATGTCTAGAACAAATTATCCCTCCCTCCCTCTGGCTCCACTGGATATAACTGGTCGGAAAGGCTTCCTTGGATCCTGTTTGAATGTGGACCCCACTGTGAACACCAGCACCTACCACACAGCTCTGTCATACATGATTCTGTTAAAGTGGAATTTTGCCTCAGAAACGTGAGAGTGCACCACCCAGTTAGCAGGAGGTCAGCAACACGATGGTCTTCAGGGGGTCCGTGGTCAGTCACAACACAAGAGGCATTCTTTGAGTTCCATCTTAAAAACTTGGATTTCACTGTGGATATTTTTCCAAAGTCTGTTTGTTATTGCAGGTGATGAAAAAAGAAAAGCAGTTAAAACTGAACCTGGTTCTTACTTTAATGACATTTGGTTACTTGTTTCACAGGCTGTGTTGGTGGGAGCTGTTAAAAACCTGTTCATACACAGTGATGGAGACCTGTTCACTTGGATTATTCAACAGCAACACAGAGAAGAGAATGGCAGTGCCACAGAGTGTGTGTGCATACCGTCCGCCATCTTGTATTTCTCTGACAGCAGCCTGGCCTGGTGACTCTTCCCTGAGCCAGGTGGTCCCAGCAGGAGGATTCTGGGAGTTCTGGCACGATGACGAGTCCGGACAAAAGCCAGCACTGAGACAACACACGCTGTCAGTCATGTTACAAATGTACAGGATCCATTAATAGACATAAGCAGTAACTGGCAGTCAGGTGTGAAAAAACCCTGCTGCTCCACACAGACCGACAGAGACAGAGGGACATCAGTGTGCACCAGGTGCCTCTGTGCATGTGCCCCGTTGGTTGATGTCAGAATCAAGTTTTACTGCCAAGTAAATCTGACATACAAGATGCAAACATTGCAAACATTTGTTTTGCTAATGTGGTGCAAACTGTTAAAAAAAAATCTAAGAAGACAGACATGACAATAACTCCATTTGAATATATACAAACTATAAGTTAAAGAGTCTGTACAATGTGAAAAGTATATATTTGCTAATGCTCACAACTGAACGTGTATTGTTGAATACACTGTCAGCGTGTGGTCAGGTGTTTCTGCGCCTCTATCCTGTCAGTAGATGCAGTGTGCGGTTGGGTGTTTGTGTGCCTGTACCCTGTCCGTAGACATCAGCATGTGGTTGGTCACCATTGATGATCTTCAGGATGTGTTGATAGGCTAAACTCAGTCCTGTGACCTCACAGCGATAACGCTGCAGTTCAGCCAATCGCTGCTTTTGTGGCGGGTCCTGCTCCTTCTCCAGACGCTGAGTGACGATGTCATCATCGGGCCAAATGAAGGTCTGATGGTACACGTCTACAAACAGGAAGTAAAGGCATGACACTGGGTATGTCCTGCTTCAGAGTGTGACTATTATCAGCAGAGGGAAGCAGCTATAGTGTTTAAAGGAGTATGCCACAAATTTCTGTCTGCCTACATTACCCACAATGCTACTGAATAGGGCTGTGTGATATGGCCAACAATGTCCTTTTTCATATTGATTGATATCAGTTACTATTGGTATATAGATTAATACCAATCATGAGCAAGACAGCACACAGTATTTGCTGGAGCTCCAGAGTACACACAGTGTGTACATATTCCCTAACAAGAAGATTACAGTTTTACAGTTTGTTTTTTAGTTTTCTAACCGATCTGTTTCATTAAGTGTTCGTCCAACATGGACTCAGCTGAGCTGAGCTGGACTCACCTCCCGTCAGTGGGTCGACCAGTTTGCCCCGACTCCTCTCCAACAGCACGTCATCAGGAGCCTCCAGCATCACTGGTGACACACACGTGCAGTATTTTGCATGCAGTACACAGTATGTATGAGCTGTGAGTGGATCTTATTTTTTGTTCTCACCAACATGTTCAGGGATGACTCCACCCTGCTGAAGACTCAGAGCCTGCAGACGAGTCTGAGGGATTCCCTCCAACACCCAGCCCTGTAACACACAGACGTTTTCACAGTATCAGTCAGGTTCTTGTGTGAGTCCAACATTTTGATTATTGTGAAACAGCTTAACAAACATGGGTCAGAGGGATTTTTGAGTGCTTAACAGTACCCTTACTTCCTCCTCAAGGACTCCTGGAAACTGCTCAGTGCCCCCTACAGCTCCCTCAAGAACCTTCAGAACAATCATGAGACATCACTCTGGACTTGTGGAACTGTGATGAGCATATTTTACTGGTTTCTAAAATTTGATGATTCGATTTACATTAGCTAACAGATTAATAAATAGATAATGAAAATAAAGCTCATATGGTGGAATAACTACAGATTTCTATGCCAGTTACTTTAAATAAAACAATGAGTACTGTGCAAATTAAGACAACAACACCATTAAAAATAATGAATACACTGCCCCTCGACGGCACCAGGCAACAGCAGTCTGTTATGAAAGGCCCATCTGAGCCGATACTGCACTCCATAAACAGTACAAAAGGCTGATCTGGGGCCTCTGGGGTCCTGGGCCCTGGGGCAGCTGCCTGCTTTGCCTGGGAATGATCCAGCTGAGGGACCTCCCCAGGGATCCTCAGAGTTCCCTTCAGGGCTGTTGGTGTTGCTGTCTGTATTTCTTGTGTTAACAGTGTAGAAAGTGTGTGAGCCTGTGACATCAGATCAGTGTGACCTGACCACTAAACTGAGACTGGAAAGTTCTTCATCGTTAACTGGGTTTCTTTGAGTAGATTTAAAGCTTTTTTGCATGACGTCAGTGTTTGCCATTTGTCAGGACATTTGTTAATCCGATTAGTTTTAATGCCTTAAGATAGTAAATCTGACTCAACATTTGTACAGGTTTTATTATCAGTTTGCTTGTTTGACTAATGACATGGTGTTACACATTTATTTGTTTTGTTCGTATCTGTTTATTTGTCAACACCATCATGTTGCCTGTTTTGGCCAGGACAGTCTTGAAAAGGAGTTTTTTATTCTCGATGAGGTTTTCCTGGTTAAATAAAAAATAATATGTGTCAGTGCTGAAGGGATCAGTGGGGCCGACAGCAGCTCTGTTCAGTCCTGTCTGACAGACATGAAGCCTGAAGTGTGTTTAATGCAGCGGTCTGCAGAGTGAGTCCCCCAGTGCTGCCTGCCAGGCTAAATAAAGACGGCTGACACCCAGACATATGTCTGACAGGCTGGATAAGTCTGTCTTCACTGACTGCTGACAGTTTTTTCTCAAACAGTGTAGAAGGATATAGTGTAAAGCATCATGTTATATATAATTCACTTGAGTCATTATCTTTTTATCTAGTGTATTTTACTTTTTTTATTTTCCATTTGTTAGATTTCATCTGGCATTTATGTACATTAGTCTCAAGTTGTTTTCAGTTTGCTGCTTTGCTTGATTATCAGTTTGTCACACATAAGGTACACAACAAATGAAGTTGGACTGATTAAATGATAAAATGGAAAAACACAAATAAAGTACAAGTACCTTAAAATGTCTGCATTGTTTTTGTACACTAGTTTTCAGTAGAAACAAGCAGCAACACTGACACATCATCCCCTTTTGAGCTGATTTCCTGAACTTGGGACCACACAGCTTCTTATTTTCAGCTCCAAAGCAACATGCACAGTGTGTTTGTGTCCGAGCCCAGTGCTCCCTCTCTGTTAGCTCTGGGTTTGGTCTCCACCGCCTCCTGAGGGAATGCTCTGAATGCTCCACTGTGCTCCCCAGCTGCTCTCTGACTGGCTCTGTCTGCTGATTGGTGCTGAGCAGGTCGTGGATGGCGGCTGTTTAGAGCGACTTCTCTGACAACAGCTGCTTCCTGCTGCAGCCCAGAACCAGAGCGGTGAGAGTAAAGCTGTGATCCCACACCAAACAATGTGACACCTGAGCTTTAAACACTGGCTTCACATTAGTGTTTAATACACTGGTCTTATAATAAACACCCCTGTATAGTCACTCAGTAGTCAGTTTATTAGGAACCCCTGTGTCATAGTCAGTCTGATCCAACTGACCTGCAGTAAATCCTCCTCCATGAAGAGATGATGATGTTCAGTCTGTGTCACAGAGGTGTCGGTTCACCTGTGTGGTCACTGTGGAGGCTGCAGGTGGTGCTGCTGTTCACCTAGACTGGGTTGTACGGAGACCTGGTTCTGGTGTCTAGCCTCATTGATATAAATGCAGTGGACAAAATAATGCAAACACTTGTTAGTATGTATTATGTAATGCAACACAGGACTTGTTGGAGGACTGTTGGATTAGACTGACTTAGATTTAGCTAGGTGTTCCTAATAAACTGGCTACTACATGTTTTGTTTGAAGGCCACGATATGCTAACCCCTGCACACAGGAACACAGCTCAGCCTCTCACACTAAGGTGCCATATTTGAAACATATTGAAGGTCTGAACACTGCTTGAGGTGTTTGTGGCAGAGGTATTCGCTCAGTAACTGACCAGCATGAACCTGCCAACAGAGTTCCATGCAGACCTCCCTCTTACATGTCATTAATTCAGGACAACGGGGGTCCTGATAGGAGCTGTCAGTCATCCTCCTCTCCACCATTCACAGCGACACACAGAAGATAAAAAACGCACACAGAGTCGGTCCCTGGAGTGTGTGTGATGAGTTTAGCCTGCAGCCAAAAACAGAAATTAGCAGATCAAAGTAGCTGCTAATCTCACACTCACACACACACACACACACAGAGACACACATGCACGCTAAACGTCAAAGCTAAACGCCGTCTTTTATTGTTTACTTGTCTATTCACTGCTTATCAGGAGAACTTGCACACTGAGAGCCACTGTGTGTCCAACACACCTGGCCAGTGAAGCTGGTTCTGGTTCTGATTGCTGAGAACACAGATGAAAACTAAGTTGTCAATGCCAAAACAAAAATACTTACAACAGCAAACGTGAGCAACAGCACCACAGCAGAAACAGTCACTGCGAGAGAGGCAGCAGCAGGGTCTCTGAATAGTATAACGTGTGCTATATAAATAACGCTGCTACTTTCTCACCACCGACCCCCTCCTAAAGAGGCTCGTACCACCTGACGGACACTAGAACCCTCTAATGGACCACTGAAACACCTAAAGGATCACTAGAACCTCTAAATAAGGTGTAGATGGATGAAACCCGTGTGGGTATTCTCCAGGTCTTCCCTTTACCTGTCAGCCGTCTGTATGTGTTTCTGTCTAACAGGAGAGCAGTTGGTGTGAAGAGGCCCGTTCAGAGGGCAGACGTTCAATCAGTCAGATAAGTGCAGCTGTGAGCTCCAGTTTGTGCTGTTGTTGTTGTGTGAATGTTTGTGACAGCAGCTTCTCCTGCTTTAATCCTCTTAAACCGACCAGAAAGCAGCTCTCGGTGTCCTGATGAACGCTGACAGGAAACAGGACGTGATGCTAATGAGAAGCAGCAGCGACGACGAGCCCAAGTGAAAATAACACGCGGGATGTGACAGCAGCAGGTCTGTTTGATCAGCTGGTCTCTGGGGAATCGCACCAACATGCTGCTCCGCCTGCTGGGAATCATAGTACGACACGGCAGCGACTGGAGCACCAATTCTTATCATCACAGCAGCACATCAGAGGGCAGACAGACGTCAGGTGACACTGAAGCAGAAACAGGCCTGTCCAGTCTGAGTAGGTGTTTATCAGACATCGAAACATGGTGCGGAGGTTTAGAACTCTGACACAGGATTTAAAGCCTTACATCATTGTGCTGGATGGCGCCATGTGTTTGTGGCGACGCCCCTGCTGAGCCAACACAGCTCTGACATTCTCAGATACTTCTGCACTAGGACACAGCATCATCTGTGCCTCCAGCCTTTCGACAACAGACTCCCTCGGCCAGGCCACCCAGTCAAGGTCAGGCCTGAGTCTCTGATCCCTCTGATCCAGAGCCAACTTTAGCAGCCTCATACGCTCTGGATGAGTCTCCATTTATTTCTGGCCTGCAGACATTTGTCCCACCGCCCATCCTGAGGGTGAGCTACAGTATCATGATGCTGAGGATGCGGGTTCTTTGACAAATTGATGTGTAGAGATTAGTGATGTGCAGACCGATCCTGATATTGATAATATTGATACTTCTGATCTTGTTCTATTCCCATGTTAAAAGATTGATATCTCAAATCAGTAGGCTAATATGGGGTAAATGTAGGCTATATGGCGCAGGAAGTTCGACCTGCCCCAGGAGCTGCTGATACAGTTCTACAGAGGAATCATCGAGTCTGTTCTCTGCACCTCCATCACTGTCTGGTTTGGCTCAGCAACCACACAGGACAAGTACAAACAATCTGTTTGAACTCCTCTCCCCTGGACGGCGTTACAGGTCACTGTGCACCAAGAAAACCAGGCACAGGGACAGTTTCTTCCCCCAGGCTGTCACTCTGATGAACACTTAACCAATGACAGTATGACTGGACAATAACCCTCAGTGCAATACCTGTAAATATACCTTGTACAGATTATACAAACTCATACAGGTCTCTAGTTTTAAGTACTCTGTTTTTATCCCTATTTATCTCATTACAACAAACATTCCTTTGTTGTCTGCATTGTTTACTGTCTGTTTATACTGCTTTTTCTGCATTGTTTGCCCTGGTTGTTGCTGTCAGTGTTGCTGTTAATACTGCTTATTTTGTTATATTACACAGCCTTATGCTGGTTTACTGTTTGCACATTGAGAGCCGATGTACCTGAGTCAAATTCCTCGTGTGTCCGTCACACCTGGCCAATAAAGCTGATTCTGATACTGATATATTTGATCTTCAACAGGGGACACAGTAGACAGTAACTGCTACCACCAGGACAGTCTAAATAATACCAGGCTGAGAGGAACTGTGTCTGCTTCTGTCCATCATCATCACATTTGAATCCTGTCGGTGTGTTAGCTGCCGAGACCCAGAATAAGAAGAACCTGTAGTTTGGAGTCTCGCGTTAACAAAGCAGATGTCATGCAGTTTCTGGGTGCAGAGGCATAAACAACAACCAAGATGGCATGCAAAGGCTCCCTGCATGTGTGGGGTATGGCTGTAGTCCCACCACCAACAGCGTGGCACCATATGTCGTTAATACAAGCAAGCCCTTATACATTCACCTTAAGGTAGGACTTTATTAAAGTTTTATTAAAGCTCCTCTTCTCCATCGGTCTCTGTTGCCTGGACCCATCTCTTTGCACAGTGTCTGTGATACCAGTCAGATTTTTACTTGGTAGCAGATCAGAAAGAAAACAAGTGGTACCACACATCGCTACAAATGAACCTCTTGGGCGACCAGCACGACCTTTCTAAAGTACCTTTAGGACTTTCTCACAAAGCCTGCTACAGGAGCACCAACCATGAAGCAGCTGATGCAGCACACTGTCCTACCTAGTCCAGGCGATGAAGCTGCTCAGTCCTGTCCTGAAGGTCACTACCACTTGTACCACAGCCTCAGGTGGTACAGGTCTCCATTCAGGGACGTCTACTCCCTTAAGCTTCTATATATGCAGCTGTGGGTCTTTGGAGTCCAAGTGGTTTGACTACAGCTGTACTGTCTGATGTGGTACTGATGAACAGACTCACCCTATTGAAGCAGTCAGCCTCATTCAGCCTCTGTTGAACCAGTTTGAGCAGTAGCTTATCAGGAAACTCCTGAACACACAAACACAACAGCAAAGGGTCACATGATGCCCACTGCCCATCACAGTCCCCATCTCTGCTCCGTATTTTCCTGGCCCAGTTACCGTACCTTCTGGTTCTTTCTCTGGACTGTCAATCCCCATTGTTCCCCAGCTGCCCCAGATGTTCCCTCAGCCTCTGCCTGCACACTGTTACCCATCACACCTGTCTCTGACTCACACTGTAGCCTAAGCCTGTTTACCTCCCTGGATTTATTCCTCTGGTTGGGCTGTTTCCATGCCTCTGACCTCTGACCCTTGCTCTGACTCTCATTTTGCCTCTGATTCTCCCTGCTCAGTTTCCTCTGGCTGGGCTGAAGGTAAGCCTCTGTTACCCTGTGCTTAGAATAAATTGGCTAGCTGCCTAGTGTGTTGTGCATTTGCTGTCTCTTTATTAGAAACGTTGACAGCGACCCAAATAGACGTTCCCCTTGTGTCACACACATTGTAACAGGTGACTCTGTATTATCACGGTGTGAACCAATCGGTCCAGTAAGCATGACCCAGCCCTGACTGAGAGAGGAACACACAGTCAAACACAGCATCACAATCGGACAAATCTGTTATTAAAGCGCCCTGAACATGTGCAGTGTGTGTGCTTGTACCTGCTGGGTGTGTGTGTGATGGTTCTGCAGTAAACTGTCTATGGTCACATGAACAGCCTTCAGCTCAGCACTCAGCTTTTTGGCCTGAAGGATGACAACAACACCACCACAGAAGAAGAGCTGATGAGATGAACTGTGTGCTCATTCCCTGCTCACTGCTGGAATACTGTATTTCACAGAATAGCTCATGGGTTTTCTGGGACTGAACCAACCACAGAACCAGAGCTAATGACAAACCCTTGTCAAATTATGACATTTTTCTGAGCCAGACTTTGCAAATCTAACTTGTGTTTTTTATGTTTTATCCTGCTACAATATAACAGGTCACATTCCTCATGTATGCTCCCACCAATAAGTCTCAGCTGTCCCCGTCATCTCATTTTAGTCTTGTCCCAACCTCCTTTACATTACAGGTTCTGCACTTCCTTATGTGTTGTTGTTTTACACATAAATGTTCAGTTTTGAAGCAGCAAAACAAAAATATTCAAAACCCATTTGCTGAATGTTGGGTTTATCTTTTGGAACTCACCACGGTGCGTTTCCCAGCAGCAGGAGGGCCGAGCAGCAGGACCCTGGGAACTGACAGACATAAACAGACAGGGAATCAGAACTGTTACCATGAATGAAATGTGATGTGTAGAACATGCTGCAGGAGGCTCCAGGCTGCTCACTGTGCTGCAGAGACACAGCGCCCCCTAGAGGCTCAGCATCCATGGTTTAGTTTGAGGCTTCATCACTGGAGGTTCTGTCAGTGTCAGGCTGTCTGCTCACTGCTCCTTACAGCAACGCTAGAATCACGTGTTGTTGACATAGTTGGAACTCATAACAATGAGATATTTTGTTACATAAAAAGTTAAAACCTTACTTTGTTTCTGTGCCGAACAAAATAAAAACTATAATCAGTACATTTTAGATAAACAACTTAAACTGAGTTGATAAGGGATTCAACAGGATTCGGATTCAATAAGCACCTTCAGAATTCAGGTGTGCTGACTTACTGTCTACACTGCTCCTCTGCAGCCAGCTGATCAGGTAGGAGATGGGATCATCAGGCTGATCAATCACCAGGCTGGACACCATGCTCTGAAACACACACACACTGTTGCACATGGGATCTGCAGCTGATATGTTTAAACAGGGAAAACCTGCAGAATGGTCCTCTACCTGCACCAGGTGGAAGATGTTGTGTTTGTCAGAGTAAATGGAGATCTGAGGAGGAATCCTCAGAGGTTTCACTGTCTCATCCATCTGGAGGAGGAGGAGGATGAAGTCTGAGGCTCTCAATGGAGATTCTTTTCCTGAGGACCATGAAGGCACCACATTTAGAACCCCCATCAAAAAAAGTATCTTGCTCAAGGGCACTTTGACATGTGGACTGGAGAAGCTGGGAATCGACCGCCAACATTGTGACTAAGGGACGACCCGCTCTACCTCCTGATCCACAGCCTCCCCCTAAGGGCAAATATTTCGGTATTTCCGATAGAGGTCAGAAACCTGAGTTTGAAACAACAGTCTGGTCCTGGTCTGAGCACAGCAGTTTTCATGTAGACCCCTGACAAAATATGTGTCAACCCAGATTGTGTGGAGTGGCTGAGGTCATTTCTACTTGGATACTGTTGGTTTTAGAAGCTTGGTGACAGTTTATACGTTTCAGTTAGGAACTTAAGTATAGCGGATATGTTAAAGGGCAGTTCCAGTATCTCTGGACTCACTATATTTACTATTTATTGTAGATTTGGTCTGCGATGGATTGGCGACCTGTCCAGGGTGTACCCCGCCTTCGCCCGATTGCCGGCCGGGATTGATTCTTGCTGCCACTCTTCTGTCACACAACACTCCTGACACCTTTCTCCACCCACCCCAACCTGCCTGCACTCGCCTCTTCACCTCTTT